GTTGGTAGGTTGTGGCGTCCGAGAGGTGGTGACCCATTTCCGCCTCGTAATTTTGACGGTCTCACATGACCACTGCTCCTCCTTTGTCAGCTGGTTTTATCACTACATCCCTACGGGCTTCCAAGTCTCGGAGGGCAGCTCTCAGTGCTGGTTGGAGGTTACACGGGGGGCGGTCTGCCAGGTGCTCCGTGAGGTCCCTCGTTGCTCGCATTATCTGCTGGTGGAGGCCGTTTAGTGCGAAAGTGTTCTCCCGCCTGGGATGCGCCTTAAATATCGTGCCGAGAGGGAAGGTTTTCGTTGGTCCCGTCTCTGGTGCTGGCCCAGTGGGGGCTCTGGTCGCCGGAGGGTGTCCCACGCCCTGTTAATCTGGGCCTCCAGGTCACTTAGTGCCTGAGAGGCAATCTGCACCCTCTTGTTGTATGATAGGGGTGCCATGATGAAAGTGAGGCCGATGCTGAGGAGGTCTCTCGCTGAAGGTGTTAGGGGAACCTCGGAGACAACCGAGCATCTTACCACCCACACGAAGAACGAAGGAGGAGAGGAGGCGAGCATGCGCTCGCCTCCTCTCCTCCTCCCTTGGTGCCGCCTTGCGTTCACGCCACCTGTCCACCCTCGCTCGTCGCCCCGGCCGTCGTCCTGCCGCCTGCCCTGGCGCTGCTGGTAGCTGTATCCGCCTCCTGGGCCGTCCCTGGCGCGGGGGGTGGTCCGGGGCCTCCACTACCCTTAATTGTGCCTCTCACCACTACTCTTGTGCCTCTCACCACTACTCTTGTGCCTCTCACCACTACTCTTGTGTCTCTCACCACTACTCTTGTGCCTCTCACCACTACTCTTGTGCCTCTCACCACTACTCTTGTGCCTCTCACCACTACTCTTGTGCCTCTCACCACTACTCTTGTGTCTCTCACCACTACCCTTGTGCCTCTCACCACTACCCTTGTGCCTCCCTCATGCGTGTCTCCTGGGGTGAGCCTCTACCCCCCCCCCCCCATGCCTCCACCGTGACCAAGCAGGCTGTGAGGGCCAGCTGCCAGCAGCGATAAGTGGTCGCCTTGCTGCCGCCTTAGTTCACCCTTTGTTTACCCTTGTTGGGTGGTGTGGGTGGTGTTGGCGGTGTGGGTGGTGTGGGCGGTGTGGGCGGTGTGGGTGGTGTTGGCGGTGTGGGTGGTGTTGGCGGTGTGGGTGGTGTGGGCGGTGTGGGTGGTGTGGGCGGTGTGGGTGGTGTTGGCGGTGTGGGTGGTGTGGGCGGTGTGGGTGGTGTTGGCGGTGTGGGTGGTGTGGGCGGTGTGGGTGGTGTTGGCGGTGTGGGTGGTGTTGGCGGTGTGGGTGGTGTGGGTGGTGTTGGTGGTTTGGGTGGTGTTGGCGGTGTGGGTGGTGTGGGCGGTGTGGGTGGTGTGGGCGGTGTGGGTGGTGTGGGCGGTGTGGGTGGTGTTGGCGGTGTGGGCGGTGTGGGTGGTGTGGGCGGTGTGGGTGGTGTTAGCGGTGTGGTTGGTGTGGGTGGTATTGGCGGTGTGGGTGGTGTTGGTGGTTTGGGTGGTGTTGGCGGTGTGGGTGGTGTTGGCGGTGTGGGTGGTGTTGGCGGTGTGGGTGGTGTGGGTGGTGTTGGCGGTGTGGGTGGTGTTAGCGGTGTGGGTGGTGTTGGCGGTGTGGGTGGTGTTGGCGGTGTGGGTGGTGTGGGTGGTGTTGGCGGTGTGGGTGGTGTGGGCGGTGTGGGTGGTGTGGGTGGTGTTGGCGGTGTTGGCGGTGTGGGTGGTGTGGGTGGTGTTGGCGGTGTGGGTGGTGTGGGTGGTGTTGGCGGTGTGGGTGGTGTGGGGGGTGTTGGTGGTGTGGGTGGTGTTGGCGGTGTGGGTGGTGTGGGTGGTGTTGGCGGTGTGGGTGGTGTTGGCGGTGTGGGTGGTGTGGGTGGTGTTGGCGGTGTGGGTGGTGTGTGCCGTGTGGGTGGTGTGGGCGGTGAGGGCCGTGTGGGCCGTGTGGGCGGTGCGGGTGGTGTTGGCGGTGTGGGTGGTGTGGGTGGTGTGGGTGGTGTAGGTGGTGTGGGTGGTGTGGGTGGTGTAGGTGGTGTGGGTGGTGTAGGTGATGTAGGTGGTGTTGGCGGTGTTGGCGGTGTGGGTGGTGTGGGTGGTGTGGGTGGTGATGGCAGTGTGGGTGGTGTTGGCGGTGTGGGTGGTGTTGGCGGTGTGGGTGGTGTGGGTGGTGTTGGCGGTGTGGGTGGTGTGGGTGGTGTTGGCGGTGTGGGTGGTGTGGGTGGTGTGGGTGGTGTTGGCGGTGTGGGTGGTGTTGGTGGTGTGGGTGGTGTTGGCGGTCTGGGTGGTGTTGGCGGTCTGGGCCGTGTGGGTGGTGTGGGCCGTGTGGGTGGTGTGTGCCGTGTGGGTGGTGTGTGCCGTGTGGGTGGTGTGTGCCGTGTGGGTGGTGTGTGCCGTGTGGGTGGTGTGTGCCGTGTGGGTGGTGTGTGCCGTGTGGGTGGTGTGTGCCGTGTGGGTGGTGTGGGCGGTGTGGGCCGTGTGGGCAGTGTGGGCCGTGTGGGTGGTGTGTGCCGTGTGGGTGGTGTGTGCCGTGTGGGTGGTGTGGGCGGTGTGGGCAGTGTGGGTGGTGTGTGCCGTGCGGGTGGTGTGGGCGGTGTGGGCAGTGTGGGTGGTGTGTGCCGTGTGAGTGGTGTGGGCGGTGTGGGCCGTGTGGGCCGTGTGGGTGGTGTGGGCGGTGTGGGCCGTGTGTGCCGTGTTGGTGGTGTGGGCGGTGTGGGCCATGTGGGCGGTGTGGGCGGTGTGGGCCGTGTGGGCGGTGTGGGCCGTGTTGGTGGTGTGGGCGGTGTGGGCCATGTGGGTGGTGTGGGCCGTGTGTGCCGTGTGGGGGGTGTGGGTGGTGTGGGCGGTACGGGTGGTGTGGGCGGTACGGGTGGTGTGGGCGGTACGGGTGGTGTAGGTGGTGTAGGTGGTGTAGGCGGTACGGGTGGTGTAGGTGGTGTGGGCGGTGTGGGTGGTGTGGGCGGTGTGGGCGGTGAGGGCCGTGTGGGCCGTGTGGGCGGTGCGGGTGGTGTTGGCGGTGTGGGTGGTGTGGGTGGTGAGGGCCGTGTGGGCCGTGTGGGCGGTGAGGGCCGTGTGGGCCGTGTGGGCAGTGTGGGTGGTGTGGGTGGTGTAGGTGGTGTGGGTGGTGTGGGCGGTGTAGGTGGTGTGGGTGGTGTGGGCGGTGTGGGTGGTGTGGGCCCCGAGCCTAGGGTGTCCCTGGTGCTGGGCCCCTAACCCCCCACCGTCAACCCCATCCGTCAACCACCACCGTCAACCCCCACCGTCACCCACCACCGTCAACCCCGTCCGTCAACCCCCACCGTCAACCCCCACCGTCAACCCCCACCGTCAACCCCCACCGTCAACTCCCCTCCGTCAACCCCCACCGTCAACCACCACCGTCAACCACCACCGTCAACCCCTTCCGTCAACCCCCTCCGTCAACCCCCACCGTCAACCCCCACCGTCAATCACCACCGTCAACCACCACCGTCAACCCTCAGTGTCAACCCTCACCGTCAACCCTCACCGTCAACCCCCACCGTCAACCCCCGCCGTCAACCCCCGCCGTCAACCCCCGCCGTCAACCCCCACCGTCAACCCCCTCCGTCAACCCCCACCGTCAACCCCCTCCGTCAACCCCCTCCGTCAACCCCCTCCGTCAACCCCCACCGTCAACCCCCACCGTCAACCCCCACCATCAACCCCCACCGTCACCCCCCACCGTCAACCCCCTCCGTCACCCCCTACCGTCAACCCCCACCGTTAACCCCCACCGTCAACCCCCACCGTCAACCCCCACCGTCAACCCTCACCGTCAACCCCCAACGTCAACCCTCAGCGTCAACCCCCAACGTCAACCCTCAGCGTCAACCCCCACCGTCAACCACCACCGTCAACCCCCACTGCCAACCACCACCGTCAACCCCCACCGTCAACCCCGTCCGTCACCCCCAACCGTCAACCCCCACCGTCAACCCCCACCGTCAACCACCACCGTCAACCCCCAATGTCAACCACCGCCGTCAACCCCCACCGTCAACCACTACCGTCAACCCCCACCGTCAACCCCCCACCGTCAACCACCACCGTCACCCCCCACCGTCAACCCCTACCGTCAACCCTCACCGTCAACCCCCACCGTCAACCCCCACCGTCAACCCCCACCGTCAACCCCCACCGTCAACCCCCACCGTCAACCCCCACCGTCAACCCCCACCGTCACCCCCCACCGTCAACCCCCACCGTCAACCCCCACCGTCAACCCCCACCGTCAACCACCACCGTCAAGCACCACCGTCAACCACCACCGTCAAGCACCACCGTCAACCACCACCGTCAACCACCACCGTACACCACCACCGTCAACCCCCATCGTCAACCCCCATCGTCAACCACCACCGTCAACCACCACCGTCAACCCCCACCGTACACCCCCACCGTCAACCCCCACCGTCACCCCCCACCGTCACCCCCCACCGTCAACCCCCACCGTCAACCCCCACCGTCAACCCCCACCGTCAACCCCCACCGTCAACCACCACCGTCAACCCCCACCGTCAACCCCCACCGTCACCCCCACCGTCAACCCCCACCGTCAACCCCCACCGTCAACCACCACCGTACACCCCCACCGTCAACCCCCACCGTCAACCCCCACCGTCAACCCCCACCGTCAACCCCCACCGTCAACCACCACCGTCAACCATCTCACTCAGCCAGCTTCTCATAGAAGTAATAACAATAACAATATTGGTGGCCGAGTATCGCGCCGTCCGTCAGCGGTGTCCGGCGGGACACGCGGCAGGATGGCTTGAGCCCCTTGGAGTGTGTTGAGCCCCTTGGAGTGTGTTGAGCCCCAGGGAGTGTGTTGAGCCCCTGGGAGAGTGTTGAGCCCCTGGGAGAGAGTTGAGCCCGGGGGGCCAGGTGGGAGGGCTCACACCCCAGCAGGAGGATCAGCGCCTCGCCACACTCACATAATCTTCACGGGAAAAGTTTTTAATCCAGGGATGAAAACTTTCCCTGAAACACGACCGTCGGTGTGAGGAGACTGATTACTCCTGGAGGTGGCCCGCTGGCCTCCTGGAGGTGGCCCTCTGGCCTCCTGGAGGTGGCCCTCTGGCCTCCTGGAGGTGGCCCTCTGGCCTCCTGGAGGTGGCCCTCTGGCCTCCTGGAGGTGGCCCTCTGGCCTCCTGGAGGTGGCCCTCTGGCCTCCTGGAGGTGGCCCTCTGGCCTCCTGGAGGTGGCCCTCTGGTCTCCTGGAGGTGGCCCTCTGGCCTCCTGGAGGTAGCCCGCTGGCCTCCTGGAGGTAGCCCGCTGGCCTCCTGGAGGTGGCCCTCTGGCCTCCTGGAGGTGGCCCTCTGGCCTCCTGGAGGTGGCCCTCTGGCCTCCTGGAGGTGGCCCTCTGGCCTCCTGGAGGTGGCCCTCTGGCCTCCTGGAGGTGGCCCTCTGGCCTCCTGGAGGTGGCCCTCTGGCCTCCTGGAGGTGGCCCTCTGGCCTCCTGGAGGTGGCCCTCTGGCCTCCTGGAGGTAGCCCGCTGGCCTCCTGGAGGTGGCCCTCTGGCCTCCTGGAGGTAGCCCGCTGGCCTCCTGGAGGTGGCCCTCTGGCCTCCTGGAGGTGGCCCTCTGGCCTCCCGGAGGTGGCCCTCTGGCCTCCCGGAGGTGGCCCTCTGGCCTCCCGGAGGTGGCCCGCTGGCCTCCCGGAGGTGGCCCGCTGGCCTCCCGGAGGTAGCCCGCTGGCCTCCTGGAGGTAGCCCGCTGGCCTCCTGGAGGTGGCCCTCTGGCCTCCCGGAGGTAGCCCGCTGGCCTCCTGGAGGTGGCCCGCTGGGCTCCTGGAGGTGGCCCGCTGGCCTCCGGGAGGTGGCCCGCTGGCCTCCTGGAGGTGCCCCGCTGGCCTCCTGGAGGTGGCCCGCTGGCCTCCTGGAGGTGGCCCGCTGGCCTCCTGGAGGTGGCCCGCTGGCCTCCTGGAGGTGGCCCGCTGGCCTCCTGGAGGTGGCTCGCTGGCCTCCTGGAGGTGGCTCGCTGGCCTCCTGGAGGTGGCCCGCTGGCCTCCTGGAGGTGGCCCGCTGGCCTCCTGGAGGTGGACCCCCATGGCCTCCTGGAGATGTGCCCCCATGGCCTCCTGGAGGTGGGCCCCCATGGCCTCCTGGAGGTGGGCCCCCATGGCCTCCTGGAGGTGGGCCCCCCTGGCCTCCTGGAGGTGGGCCCCCATGGCCTCCTGGAGGTGGGCCCCCATGGCCTCCTGGAGGTGGGCCCCCATGGCCTCCTGGAGGTGGGCCCCCATGGCCTCCTGGAGGTGGGCCCCCATGGCCTCCTGGAGGTGGGCCCCCATGGCCTCCTGGAGGTGGGCCCCCATGGCCTCCTGGAGGTGGGCCCCCATGGCCTCCTGGAGGTGGGCCCCCATGGCCTCCTGGAGGTGGGCCCCCATGGCCTCCTGGAGGTGGGCCCCCATGGCCTCCTGGAGGTGGGCCCCCATGGCCTCCTGGAGGTGGGCCCCCATGGCCTCCTGGAGGTGGGCCCCCATGGCCTCCTGGAGGTGGGCCCCCATGGCCTCCTGGAGGTGGGCCCCCATGGCCTCCTGGAGGTGGGCCCCCATGGCCTCCTGGAGGTGGGCCCCCATGGCCTCCTGGAGGTGGGCCCCCATGGCCTCCTGGAGGTGGGCCCCCATGGCCTCCTGGAGGTGGGCCCCCATGGCCTCCTGGAGGTGGGCCCCCATGGCCTCCTGGAGGTGGGCCCCCATGGCCTCCTGGAGGTGGGCCCCCATGGCCTCCTGGAGGTGGGCCCCCATGGCCTCCTGGAGGTGGGCCCCCATGGCCTCCTGGAGGTGGGCCCCCATGGCCTCCTGGAGGTGGGCCCCCATGGCCTCCTGGAGGTGGGCCCCCATGGCCTCCTGGAGGTGGGCCCCCATGGCCTCCTGGAGGTGGGCCCCCATGGCCTCCTGGAGGTGGGCCCCCATGGCCTCCTGGAGGTGGGCCCCCATGGCCTCCTGGAGGTGGGCCCCCATGGCCTCCTGGAGGTGGGCCCCCATGGCCTCCTGGAGGTGGGCCCCCATGGCCTCCTGGAGGTGGGCCCCCATGGCCTCCTGGAGGTGGCCCCCATGGCCTCCTGGAGGTGGGCCCCCATGGCCTCCTGGAGGTGGGCCCCCATGGCCTCCTGGAGGTGGGCCCCCATGGCCTCCTGGAGGTGGGCCCCATGGCCTCCTGGAGGTGGGCCCCCTGGCTTCTTGGAGCGGCCCGCAGGCCCACATACCCACAACAGCCCGGCTGGTCCGGAACTTCTCTTAGAACACAGTCCAGTTTTCTCTTGAAGATGTCCACGGTTGTTCCGGCAATATTTCTTATAGTCGCTGGGAGGACGTTGAACATCCGCGGACCTCTGATGTTTATACAGTGTTCTCTGATTGTGCCTATGGCACCTCTGCTCCTCGCTGGTTCTATTCTGCATTTTTCTTCCATATCGTTCACTCCAGTATGTTGTTATTTTACTGTGTAGATTTGGGACGTGGCCTTCCAGTATTTTCCATGTGTATATTATTTGGTATCTCTCTCGTCTCCTTTCTAGAGAGTACATTTGGAGAGCTTTGAGACGATCCTAATAATTTAGGCGTTTTATCTCGTCTATGCGTGCTGTATATGTTCTGTGTTCCCTCTATTTCAGCAATCTCTCCTGCTCTGAAGGGGGAAGCGAGTACTGAGCAGTACTCAAGACGGGACAACACAAGTGACTTGAAGAGTACAATGACTGTGATGGGATCCCTGGATTTGAAAGTTCTCGTAATCCATCCGACCATTTTTCTGGCTGACGCAATATTTGCTTGGTTATGCTCCCTAAACGTTAGGTCGTCGGACATCATTATTCCCAAATCCTCGACATGCTGTTTTTCTACTATGTGAAGATTCAATTGTGTTTTGTACCCTGTATTATGTTTCAGATCCTCATAATCTACCCCGGGGTTGATTATGGCACTGTACTCGGGGTAGATTATGGTATTGTACTCCGGGGTAGATATGGCACTGTACCCGTGGTAGATTATGGCACTGTACCCCGGAGTAGATTATGGCACTGTACCCCGGGGTAGATTATGGCACTGGTCCCCGGGGTAGATTATGGCACTGTACCCCGGGTAGATTATGGTACTGTTCCCCGGGGTAGATTATGGCACTGTACCCCGGGGTAGATTATGGCACTGGTCCCCGGGGTAGATTATGGCACTGTACCCCGGGTAGATTATGGTACTGTTCCCCGGGGTAGATTATGGCACTGTACCCCGGGGTAGATTATGGCACTGTACCCCGGGGTAGATTATGGCACTGTACCCCGGGGTAGATTATGGCACTGTACCCCGTGGTAGATTATGGCACTCTGTAATGATCTGAGCAGACCATAGTGCCTTCCCTTCCCTTCACATTTGGCAGTGCCACCCTCTTGTACCCCCATCCGCCCCACCACCTCCTTGTTGGCCGTTTCTGCCATATAACTACTCTTGTCAAATTACCCCCTTAGGCAGGTGGTCAAGTCACTTGTCCAATCCTTGTCCCATTCCTGTTTTGTCATCCCTCGTTCCTCTCTCCTCCTGTCTTGCCTATAACCAGTGATGAGTTCAGTGCCATATACCGTAGTTCACACGTTTCGAGTGAGATGGCTGGGAGCCATAAACAGCTGTTTGGTTCCTGTTGTAGCGTGGGAACGATTCTGGAGTCTATGGGAAATAGATAACTTTCAGGGCAGGCCTATGTCACCAAGGAGGCCTAGGGGCGGGGATAGTCAGAGTTCTGGCTGGCCTAAGAGTAAGGCTCTGTAGTCATTGGTTCGAGCCTTGAGAGGCGGAGTCCCCCAGGGTAGTGCCTTGTCACCCATTGGCCCAGCCTCAGAATATCCAGCTTTGCTTTGAATTTATTGGTGCTCCTAGCCGGAGCCAAGCTCCAGAGGAAACCCTTAGGTCTCCCAAGGGGAGTTTAGGAGAATTGGAGTCAGTGTGTCTTGGGGCTTACTGGAGTACAGGTCTCCTGACATGTAGGGCAAGCCATTCAACATCCTGCAGGATTTTACAGGATTAAGTTAATGTCTGGCTGAGTTTTGGTACATCAAAGTAAATTGCACACCGTTTTCCAATCGCCTCGTAGGATGTCTTAGTAAAGCAGGATATATTTTTTTCAAATTGATTTCATTATATGTGTTTTAAATAATAAAGTAATTTAATGTATTTGTGTTTAGTTAATTGTTCCCCACTTTTCGTTATTAATGATGTTTCATATTTATTTGTGTTGAATTTGGATATTTCCTCTGTGCTCTTCTCCAGTAACTGATATTAAAGTTGCCCTTGAATCTCAGTCAGTAAGGTAAAGATTACATTTTAATTCCCAAGCATTTACCAAGATTCTATTGCCCGGGAGTTCATGATTATTGATTTCCTTCCTTCCTTGGGAGTCAATAATAGACACATTCAGAGTCTGAGCAGCGAGGTGGTGGCAGTGTTTAGTGAGTTTTTGTTGATTCACTTATTATTCAAATTAATAAATCCTCCACTTGTGGCTTGCCCCTCATTTAATATTTCAGCTTCGCGGTAGCTTAGTGAGGGGTCACACTGAGCTGTGTTGAGCTGGGGGTAGAGTGTGGAGAGTAAGAGTAGAGTATAAAAGGTTATTACAATTCTACCCTGGGACATTATGGCACTGTACCTTGGGACATTATGGCACTGTACCCTGGGACATTATGGCACTGTACCCTGGACCACATAAAGAAGCACCCACCAGGGATGTGGTCCACATAAAGAGGCACCCACCAGGGATGTGCTCCACATAGAAGCACCCACCAGGTATGTGCTGCACATAAAGAGGTACCCACCAGGGATGTGCTCCACATAGAAGCACCCACCAGGGATGTGCTCCACATAGAAGCACCCACCAGGGATGTGCTCCACATAGAAGCACCCACCAGGGATGTGCTCCACATAGAAGCACCCACCAGGGATGTGCTCCACATAGAAGCACCCACCAGGGATGTGCTCCACATAGAAGCACCCACCAGGGATGTGCTCCACATAAAGAAGCACCCACCAGGGATGTGCTCCACATAAGGAAGCACCCACCAGGGATGTGCTCCACATAAGGAAGCACCCACCAGGGATGTGCTCCACATAAAGAAGCACCCGCCAGGGATGTGCTCCACATAAGGAAGCACCCACCAGGGATGTGCTCCACATAGAAGCACCCACCAGGGATGTGCTCCACATAAGGAAGCACCCACCAGGGATGTGCTCCACATAGAAGCACCCACCAGGGATGTGCTCCACATAAAGAAGCACCCACCAGGGATGTGCTCCACATAAAGAAGCACCCACCAGGGATGTGCTCCACATAAGGAAGCACCCACCAGGGATGTGCTCCACATAGAAGCACCCACCAGGGATATGCTCCACATAAGGAAGCACCCACCAGGGATGTGCTCCACATAGAAGCACCCACCAGGGATGTGCTCCACATAGAAGCACCTATACTCCACCAGGAAGACCATGTACTAGTGTATAGTGCTTCCAGGTAAATGTAATTTGCCTGATGACTTTACCTGTGCCAGGAACCATTAAACATACTCTGCCTCTTCAAGCTTAACAGGTCCTTCCCTCGTGTCTGGCGCCTCCGTCCTCACCTCCTTCTCTCCCTCTGGCTCCCTCTTCCGCCTCTCCCACCTTCCCTTCCTCCTCTTACCTTCTCTCTGTCTCCTTTTCACGGGCCCAGTAGGCTGTGAGAGCCAGCTGGCAGCATCGGTAACCACCAGTGGCGGAACATAGGTGTGTGTGTGTGTGTGTGTGTGCGTGTGTGTGTACTCACGTAGTTGTGCTTGCGGGGGTTGAGCTCTGGCTCTTTGGTCCCGCCTCTCAACCGTCAATTAACAGGTGTACAGGTTCCTGAGCCTATTGGGCTCTATCATATCTACACTTGAAACTGTGTATGGTGTCAGCCTCCACCACATCGCTCCTAATGCATTCCATTTGTCAACCACTCTGACACTAAAAAAGTTCTTTCTAATATCTCTGTGGCTAATTTGGGCACTCAGTTTCCACCTGTGTCCCCTAGTGCGTGTGCCCCTTGTGTTAAACAGCCTGTCTTTATCAACCCTGTCGATTCCCTTGAGAATCTTGAATGTGGTGATCATGTCCCCTCTAACTCTTCTGTCTTCCAACGAAGTGAGGTTTAATTCCCGTAGTCTCTCCTCGTAGCTCATACCTCTCAGCTCGGGTACTGGTCTGGTGGCAAACCTTTGAACCTTTTCCAGTTTAGTCTTATGCTTGACTAGATATGGACTCCATGCAGGAGCCGCATACTCCAGGATTGGTCTGACATATGTGGTATATAATGTTCTGAAAGATTCCTTACACAAGTTTCTGAAGGCCGTTCTTATGTTAGCCAACTTGGCATATGCTGCTGATGTTATCCTCTTGATATGAGCTTCAGGGGACAGATCTGGCGTGATATCAACCCCCAGGTCTTTCTCTTTTTCTGACTCTTGAAGTATTTCATCTCCCAAATGGTACCTTGTATCTGGTCTCCTGCTTCCTACTTCTATCTTCATTACATTACATTTGCTTGGGTTAAACTCTAACAGCTATTTGTTCGACCATTCCTGCAGCTTGTCCAGGTCTTCTTGAAGCCTCAAGCTGTCCTCCTCTGTTTTAATCCTTCTCATAATTTTGGCGTCGTCAGGAAACATTGAGAGGAATGAGTCTATACCCTCTGGGAGATCATTTACGTATATCAGAAACAGGATAGGTCAAAGTACAGAGCCCTGTGGGACTCCACTGGTGACTTCACGCCAGTCTGAGGTCTCACCCCTCACTGTAACTCTCTGCTTCCTATTGCTTAGGTACTCCCTTATCCACTGGAGCGCCCTACCAGTTACTCCTGCCTGTTTTTCCAGCTTATGCATCAACCTTTTATGGGGTACTGTGTCAAAGGCTTTCCGATAGTCTAAAAAAATGCAGTCCGCCCGCCCTTCTCTTTCTTGCTTAATCTTTGTCACCTGATCGTAGAATTCTATCAAGCCTGTAAGGCAGGATTTACCCTCCCTGAACCCATGTTGATGGGTTGTCACGAAGTCTCTTCTCTCCAGATGTGTTACTAGGTTTTTTCTCACAATCTTCTCCATCACCTTGCATGGTATACAAGTTAAGGACACTGGCCTGTAGTTCAGTGCCTCTTGTCTGTCACCCTTTTTGTATATTGGTACATTAGCCGTCTTCCATATTTCTGG